TGATAATTAGTTCCAAATCACTGAGCCAAGTTCCGTCCAAAACTTCAAATAGGCCTAAACGATGACAGACATAACACAGCAATTCAGCTAATAATCAGCTAATTAAGTCGGTCAACAGATACGCAAAAACAAATTCATGACACAACACTAAAAATTAAAGGTTGGTGATCTGACTCAATTCTGTCATCCACATGGAAATTTGTTAGATATTTCATAACTGAGGTATTACATAACAAATAATCCACAACACTACCACCTTGACCTTTTAAACACGTAAAGTAGCCGCTATTGTCTGCAAAACGTCCATTCATAATACGTAACCCAGATGATTTACATAACTCTAAAAGGGGTTGGCCGTACCGGTTTGTCTCTGTGTCATGTGACCGTCTTGGTGGTAAAATATCATCACTCAAATATTCTTCATGACAGGGAACATGTACTATATTTGCTTGGCTTAAATAATCTACTAGATTCGCAGATCTAGCATTAAAATCACCACAGACCAAACAATGGTAGTTGGGATACATTTGGGAATATTTAGCGTATTAAATTTCAAGTACATCAAATAAATTAATATCAGAATATAAAGAAGAGCCCTCGGGAGATAAATATACAATACCAATTATAAGTAATAAATGATCATTAGTTTTCATTTTCACCCACATTATATCCGCAGACTTGCTATACAATTGATTTACTGACTGGAAACCATGCGTTTTGCATAACAATAGAATTCCACCAGAGTACTTGCCAAGGTAACAATGCTTGGGTCGAATACTACATAAGGATTTATACCCATCAAGGGAAAATGTGTCATTTATAGTGGCCCATGTCTCTGTTAACATATTATTGTAGGGATGCTGAATTGTTCGAGTTACAAAAATGATCACGCCCATATTTTATAAACCACGCCCAATTTTGCGAAACCACTCAATGGTCAATTAACGCTTAACGAAACTTCGTGTTACGGGCAACATAGAATTTTTATTTTGTTCAACGTTGTATGCTTCCCGTAATTTGATGTTCGATTAACTGATAATTAAATTTCGAGTTATTAAAGAACGTTCAAAAAAAGAAAAAAAAAAGAAAAAAAAAACATAGGTTGCCCGTAGCTCGAAGTTCTGTTAACTGTTAATTGAACACCGAGTTACTAAATGTGGACGTTTAATAAAAATAAAAAAATATATGTAACTCGAAGTTCTGTTAACTGTAATTGAACATCGAGTTACAATTTGGGTTTCTGAAATATGGGCGTGGTAATTGTAACTCGATGTTTTCGTAACTCATTGTTCGTAACTCGATATCCGTAACTCGATGAACAATTCAGCATCTCATTATTGTTACACGTTGGTACATGGAGGTGTAGTACTCTATAGGACCACTTGATCTTACTTAGCGTGCATGCAGAAAATGCGTGTTCGTTCCGTGTGACCTTGACATTAACGTGGCTTAGGATTGGTCCAAGTCCACATTTCCCGAAACTGGTTTGGTTCTATCGCCCTATATTATCAAGTTATTGAACCTGTCGTATTAATACAAACAGGTCCGTACAGGTCCGGTCTTTTTAATTTAAACAAAACATGTAGTTTTAGGACACATTGTTTAATTATCCTGAGTTTTAAACAATCGCAAAGTTTTTTTTCTTCAAATTATTAAACAAATCGTGTATTACCCCCCACCCCCATGTATAAACTCCATAATCTGTATAATTATCACGTTTAATCCGTGCACCGTGACCCCATTTTTTCACATTTGACCTTGTGATTAAACCATGGAGCAACCAACCTTAAGGACGTGACTTCTGGAATAAGATTCATAGAAACGACCCGACTGACGTGATACCAGTAGTGGCATTTTGAGTTACCATGTACTAGTATACAATTCAACGTTGAACCATGGAGCATAATACCTCCATGGTTGAACTATACCCATTTGGCCCTTGCTACCAATTCCAGATAAAACCCCATTACTATTTATAGCGTCTCAAACTCAGGCAATATTAGTGGGTCACACTGGCACGGGACGTGGTAAAAGTATTTCGTAGAATATATGCTCATGTCGTCCATAGCAACCACTGAACTGTATTCAATACATGCATCCGATATTGCTTGTAATGTTAAGGTGTAACCTGAGTGATATACTCAGTCTGTGCATAAATGGAATCATTAACTGTCAGTGAAAAGAAAAGCCGAATAAAAAAGGTCAAGGGTTATTTGCGACAAAACCCGATAACTCGGCACATGGAGAATTTTGTACGACGTAAGCTAAAAATACGTTGAAAAGTACTGCGGGTGAGTGAGCAAGTTACGAACACAGTATAATGCATGTATTTAAACAATATTGAATGTGCGATCGATCGGGCAGTGATTACCCACAATTCTCGAAGTAGAACACGTGGGCAAACGATGACGTAGGGCTTCATCACAGCTGCTGACTGACTGCGTCGTCCGCTCGACAGAAAGTAGTTACATAAATAATTACACACCCTAATCTCCACTTTTATCTCCATTCTTCGAATGCTGTATGTTATATTGTTTATTTTTATTACGACATGTAGGTTTTAAAAAAAATACGAAAAAAAAGATGATGAGGAAAATCACAACCATTCCGCGCATTCATTTCATAAAAATTCCATGTGAAGTGTGTGAATGGTGACGTATTTAATTGTAGTCCTGGCATTGCTGCGTCCATTTTGCCGGCGTATTCCAGCTTTATACAGTACCACGGAGTCATGTCTATTTCCAAAGAATCCGTGAAATCTTTTTGCAAGGATTTGCTTGTAGGTGGTACTGCTGCAGCAGTATCGAAGACAGCCGTAGCACCAATTGAGCGAGTCAAACTGCTTTTACAGGTGAGAAAATTGAAATTCTGTTGGTTCTAATGCGCTAGGTTGAATACGGAGGTCAATGTCTACGTGCATGTGGATGCCGGTAAAAAGTCACATGTTCTTGTCTGAAGAATTCCTCCTTAAAAATATTCTTAAAGTTTATCGTCGATTTTGTTTAATGTCGTTCACGCCTTGTAACTGATCTTCTTTTGACAGTTAACTATAGTAATTTTCTTGTGAAAATTGTAGGGATCACCAACCGGCATTTTTATGTCGCCGCCTGGCTGACCTTGTTCCTTTTGGCATATGTAATTGTACTTTCTAACGTGTTCTTAGATGAACTAGAGGGCCTTAAGTAGACATTTTGTTACAATTCCAACTTAGCAGTTTTGAAAGTCAGATGGTAGTTGTATTAGTAGTAAAAGGTTTTCCGGCGTTGCCAGTGCGGCTTATTTGGATATATGCCAAGTTGTATATATTCGTGGAGGTAGAAATAGCTCTGTTAACTCTAGAACAATACGACTGAGGTTTTACAACCGATCGCATATTTTAAACTTCATTGACAACAACCATTGTTGTAGTGATCGTACAATCAGTATACTATACTAACAGTTGTTAAAGCGTTCTACTAAACAGCAAAAACTTATAATTTTCCTAATAAATACTAAAAGGATGTCAGTTCAAAATGTATAAAAACATAGTTGAGATTTAGTTAGTTGCATGACTATTCCACAAAACGATGGCTTGCATAAAATAAATGGCTGTAGGTTTGCACACTGTCTGGAACATTGCATATTGGTTTTCAAATGCATTTCATTACAGCATGTGTAGAGCAATGCCATGCAATAAACTAAGATTACACATTATAGAATTTTTAAATAGCATGCAGTTCACATAAAAAATGAGAGAATTCACTTTCAATTCAAACCCTGCTGATTGCAAAGACTGTATAAAATTCAACTGAATGTGTTGTAGTGCCCTTTGACCCCTACTGAGTTTAGTAGCTGGATAAGAATGTAGTGTACACATTGACAGAAAGCTAACAATCCCAAATAAACCTCTGATAAAAAAAATTGAAAAAATTAATTTGGTCTGAAAAGAAATCTATAGGATTTATTTGACGCCCCGCTTGTTTTTTTACATCCATGTTCCGAGCAAGAAAACACATTGTGAAAACATTTATCGGTCCATGTTCAAAACTAGACTGATGATTTGTGCTTCATTCATCCGGGTCATTTATCTTGGATGTCAAGATGAACCCTTAATCATTATCAGAGGAAAGTTTTGCTCAGTTTACAATGATTCCTACTTTCATTTGAGCACAATTTTATCTTCTATTGTCCCAACTTCAATGTTTTTTTTGGTATCAAAATGTTTTGTTTTATCTATAATAGCCACATTTTCTCAATTGATGTGAAGATGCATATAGGCAATTGGATTGACAATTTTTATTATATATTAATGCATCTAAACTAACTGAGCCAAATTTTGTTTTAAACAGGTCCAAGATGCATCAACCCAGATTTCAGCTGCCCAAAAGTACAAGGGTATTGGAGACTGTTTTTCAAGAGTAGTAAAAGAACAGGGGTTTGTGTCACTTTGGCGTGGTAACTTGGCCAATGTTATAAGATACTTCCCTACTCAGGCTCTCAACTTTGCCTTTAAAGACAAATACAAGCAGATATTTGTGGCTAGCATCGATAAGAAGAAAAATTTCTGGCGGTTCTTTGCTGGTAACTTGGCTTCTGGTGGTGCTGCTGGTGCAACTTCCTTGTGTTTTGTCTACCCACTTGATTTCGCCAGAACCCGTCTTGCAGCTGATGTTGGTAAAGGTGCGGCTGACAGGCAATTCTCTGGCCTTGGTAATTGTCTTGCCAAAATCTACAAGTCTGATGGGCTCATTGGTCTGTACCGTGGTTTCAACGTCTCAGTCCAAGGTATTATCATCTACCGTGCATCTTACTTTGGTTGCTTTGATACAGTAAAATCATTCGTACCACAGAAGTACCAGCGTAATGTGATCCTGTCCTGGATGATTGCCCAGACT